CGACCAAATTTACCCAGGAATCGAGGCATATGCCCAGGGTGATGCAGGGCCAGAAGGCTACCTCTGCCTTGCCACTGGAAGAGGCTGGTGCTGCCCAAGCCAGGGGCAGATGTGGCACAGCGGCAGAGGGACTCCGGGACAAGTGCCGGATACTAGCCACAGGCAGCAGGTGGAGAAATCTTTTGGCCAAAGGAAACTTCCCACTGGCCTAAATCTGGTAAAGCATGGGTTCCCAAATGGGGGGAGATGGGAGCACATGAAGAAATTCCAGGGGGGCATGAGGCAACCCAGCCCCCCCATCAATTCCCCACCCCCAAGATGTGCTGCTATTTTTGGTTGTTTTTTTTGCTCAACAAGTTTTGCTGCTATGGGGGGAGGGGCGTGAGTGTTTCTCAAAAATCAAAAAGGGGGCGTGATGCCGAAAAGTTTGGGACCCGCTGCTCTAAGCGGCTACATAGAAATAGTGCTGCAGCTCACAATTGCAACAGTCCCGTATTGCCTGGCGTGCATGGTAATGGAAAGCACTCCTACGAGAATCAGTAGCGCAAGATCCAAGCAGCTCTTAGTGGGAATGGGAGATCCCTCTTTTGCCCCTCGGGGACCCGAGAGGGCTCCAGCGGGCGAGTGCAAGGAAGTGAAACACTGAGTAAGTGAACTTAGCCTCTTAGCACTTACATGACCTAAGCGTATTTCATGGAGCATAGATTGGTTCCTAACATGTCAGCAATATAATTGTTGGCCTAGCATGGTTAGTAAGACCTTGGAATACCCCGTTTGGCAAGGAGTGCAAACCAAGCCTTTCAGTCTTTGGAATGTCCTGACTGCCCTTGACTTGGCCATAGGACAAGGAAAGCACAGGCAGGGAGAGTAAGGGGAATCCCCATCAAATGAGATGAATAGCTTTGTAATTAAGCAGTAGAGAAACGTTATATAATCTAGTGGGTAGCGTGGGATTTTACATACAGTCCTAACTGTTAGGAGGCTGTGAATTGGAGGAGGGGGTGCGGGTAAAAGCAGGGAGTAGATAAAAGTGGGGTGTCCTGGCTGTAAAACGAGTGTGTTGCAAAGAAGCAACAGATAATTTATCTGTATAGCCTTTGTCCATGTAACTCATTGGCCTGTTATCCCATTGATCTCTGGGGTGGGGTATTCTGTAGCTATGCTGCAGTAAACTTGTTCCTTGGCTTTGAATGTGGAGTTAGCAGGGGTTTCTGTCTGCTTTGCTAAGTTCAAAAGGCAACCGGGGAGCTTGGTTGGTGGTCCCGGAGACATCCTTCCAAATCAGCGAGGTCTCCGACTGGCAGCAGCAATGCCTCTGCTGGGAGAAGTTAAGCCAGTTATAATAATTTTAGCTCTTGTCGGGAAGCTCTGGCGTTTTCCCAGAGTCCTACTGGTTTGGACTTGAAAATATTATTCATCTGTGGAAATAGTTTCTATTGGTACAGCAGCACCGATGCTTCTTAAATGGAATGCCTTTGGGAAAAAATGGGGTTCCCTAGCCAGGAAAGAAATCTGGGGTCCATATTCTGTGGTTTAGATCAAATTGGAAGCAGACCTCTGTCTGATCACGAAATATTTCCAATTCCACATGCAACTTGTCAAATAGGAATTTGGGAATAAGAGCAGTTCAAGAGTAGGGTGACAAGTGTGAAAAGTTAGAAATGAGATGGGTCCTAATAGTGCAAATATCAGACCTGTCCCACTAAAAATGGGTATTTCGGAGAACAGGTGCCCTGCAAAATAAGTGTTCGGCGTGATGAATGGGGGCTCAGAGTGAAGAGCAAAGTCCAGGGAATGAGGGTGTCTAAGGACACTTGGCCAGTGTCTCCCGACAAACTCCATCGTGCCATGCACTGGGGGGACTCTGCCCCCCTCCCAGAAAAACACGCAAGTTGCTGTGGAGATAACGGTGCTGCCTGCATGTTTTGACGCTGTGCTTTTTTCTTTGGTGATCGGCTAGTCCTCCTGCTGAGGGAGAAATGCTCAAAACCAAGAGCCCCCGGTGGCCCTAAAGCTCATGCCCAAAAGGCAAAGAGCGAACCCAAACTCTATCATTTACACTAAGCTATCCCACTGGGACTAGGCTGAGCTCACAATCACCGGCGGCTGCTGGGGTTGCCAGGTGTCCGGTATTCACCCGGACAGTCCGGTATGTTTGCCTCCTGTCCGGTAAAAAATTCAGAGAATACCAGACACCTAAAATGTCCGGTATTTTCTGATTTTTTTCCCTGGCCAGGAGGCGAAAATGCTGGGCACCTGGCAACCCTGCAAACACTCAGCCTCCCCCCCAGCCCTCTCCTGGCTCCCAAACCCCCAGCTCCCCTGGTGTCC